TTTCATTCTTTATTTATATTCTCATTTCATTACTTTCAACCAAATAGATAAAATGTGAAAATAAAATTTTTATTTTTATTCTTATTCTCACTACTTTATTCCTAGTAAACAAGCAACACCCGAATGTATTATTTTTACATTTGGTGTATATAAGTTTTGTTTAAACGGTAACTTAAATCTTCCTTCTTCTTTTTCAAGAATCATTATATTTTACATATTTTCAATCAAATCTTAAACATATCATTTTTATCGTAATTAATTCACAAATTAAAAAAAAAAAATTCCACGTATATTGGTTTCAATTTCATCAACCATAGATGATAATGCATATATCTGTTAAAAAAAATGATAATGTAAAATCTACTTTGATCACGGAAATAGAAGAAGACAAATAATATTGAGAAATAACAAAAGGGTCCGAATATTCTATAGAATCCTTTCACGGAAGATAAGTGATTTCTCATGCTTCACATTTAACTTGGTAAAAGATAGAGCAGTGTTTCCACAAATTTATGATTATATTATTTGTTAGGTATTTTCACAAATTGAGATTGACCTTAAATTTGGTTCACTTTCACCTTTTCTTTCACGCATAGCCAATTCTATACAGCACAAGCTGTCAAGGAATTAATGGGATTTTGTTCCGTTCAGACTGCCTTAAATTTCTCCCTCTTCCTATCCACGCTTGAACATGGTATTGTCCATTATGTTTGGTCCCCATTGTGTTCACTGTGTCTTGTCGCTGTCAGTTGAATATGTTGTACTATATTGTTTTGTGAAATTAAAAATATTAAATTGTTTGATAATGAAATGTTGTATTGTGAATAAAATTATTTAATTGTTCTATTAATTATTTGACAATCTATTGATGTATTTTTTAAATTAGAATCATCATAAGAATATGGTTTAAATTAAACATTTTGTTTAAGAAATTAAATTAAATTGCTGGAGAAATGAATTATTTTGTTGAAAAACACATAAATATCATAAACAACATAAGTAATAGAAATTAAATTGAATTGTTTGAGAAATGAATTCTTTCTTTGAAACATTACATGGTTTTTTAAAAGTAAATAAAACTACTAAATAATTTAATTTAAAAAATGCATTATTAGTGTGCTCGCATGTGTGTGTAAGGAAAAGAAAGAAAGAAACCATAATCAAAATATTAAATAATTTATTTTTTCTTTGCATATTTGACAATTTTCTTTAATGAAACGAATTCAAGTCCTAACAATTTTAGTTAACTTTATTACTTCCTATACAAAGTAAAAAAAAAAAAAAAACTAATCCTTTTATGTAGCACAAAATATTTTGGGCCTTCCAATAAACTAAAAAAATTCTCTTTAGATAAATGGAAATTTTATTATATTTTTCAACCGAATCAGTTATGAAAAGAAATTATAGTATCCTAACCTCGTGCCTTTTTGTCGTTTCTTTTGGGCGTTTGCCTCGTTTCCTTTTATTTTCTCATTTTTCTCAAAACACAGAAAAAAAAATTCTCATTTTTCTAAAAATAAGTGTCAATTCTCCGACTTACTTCTGGTCACAATAAAGGCCAAAGCCCATGACGAAAAGAAAGAAAACTTACTCCCACTGTCACTCGCATAACCAAAGAAAATGAAATCCCTCTTCTTCTTCTTCTTCTTCTGTTTTTTTTTAGCTGAACTTGAAATTATTGGAATTAAGGCATTTATAAATAGCCAGTAATATTGTGAAGTACAGACTGCCTCGTGACTTATGCCCATCCCGTTTGAATATAACAAACTTAATTATTGAAAAAGCTGAAGAACAAACCGGCAAGTAAAAAAAACATGAAAGGGAATCGGTAGTTGAAATGTCTTGTCTAATTATCAAGATGTACAAGCTACGAACTCGACAGATGCCTTGTACGTCACTCATTGGGAGCAATTTTAGCGACTTAAAAGGCTAGAAAACCAAATATTTTCTAAATTTAGTTGATTTGAAAATTAGCTTTTAAACTTTTAATTTATATTTTGAATTTTTGAATCTTTTTTTTAGATTTAGTTCATTTTATAATTTTTAGCTATAGCTTCTCTCTTCTAAAAAAATTATTTTCTGAAATTTTGCACACATATTGAAAAAAATTCAATTAATTTTTAAAAAAATTACAAAATTTTCCAAAATTGGGAATCTTAATGCTTTATTTTTTAAAAATTAAAATATAAAAAATAAAAAAATATAACATAATTCGAAATAATCCTAAATTTCTTAGAAAGCTTTCAATAAATCTTATTGAATAATTTTAATCATGAAACTATTTATGTAATTATTATTTTTTTAAATAAATGACAACAAATTGAATAATGGATTAAATGTTAAAAAATAAAAATCAAAAAATTCATAATACAAATGCAAAATTCAAGAACTGATTTTCAAAATAGATTAAAGTTTTGGAGTTTTCGTTAAGTTTGCACAAGGGACAGAATACGTAGTTTTGAAAACTTTACTAGGAAACAGGCAAGGTCATGATTTGGTCATCTTTTACATTCGTCCTCGATTGCATACCAGTTATAAAAAAAACGTTATGCTAACATGTAGTTTTTGTTTTGTAAAGATTATTTCGTAAAAATACCACAAAATATTAACAAGTTCATATGAGATTTTAGAATTTTTGAAAACTTTACGAGAAGCGAGTAAGCTAGAAAAATTTTAAAATCGCATCAAACCCACCAAAATTAGTAAAAATATTTCTATCTAAACTCTATATATTTTAAAAAAAAAATTTTTCTCCCTCTGTGTGTATATCTCTCTTCCATGGATTAATAACTATTAATTAGTCTACAAATTTCATAAAATTTCTCATAAAGCCACCTTTTGCCATCTCCTCAATTCGTCTTCGACTGCATACCCTAATTAAGCTAATGATGCTATGAAATAATGAATGATGCTATGAAATAATGAATGAATGTTCATGTACAATTCATGTAATAAATAAATATTTATATACATGAATGTACCATTCATGTAATGAATAAATACACATGCATGTATCATTCATATGCTTCTTTGTAATTCAATTTACCATTATCATACATGTATATATTAATTTTTCGTTAAATCCCTAATTTAGAATTTTGTGTAACATTCACCTATAAATAGGTTTGTTGAGTGAAGAAAAAATACAATTTACTTTTCTATAATCTTTTTCTAACTCTCTCCAACATCTTTCTCTTCTTCTTTTTTTTTTTTTTGGTTAAACATATCTATTTGTCTTTATATATGATACTCAATGTCTTTCATTTGTCTTAAGTCTATAATTGCATCTCATCTGTCTCTCGAATATGTTTAAAATATTTAATCTATCCTTTAGGCCTAATATTTTGGCCAAATAATATATTTTTTTTACTAAATATCCTCGATTGAAAAAAAAAAATTAAAGACTTAAAAAATAGAACATATAGGTTATATGATTTTAAGTGTTTTTATTTTTATATTTTTATTTTTTTTTCAAATTTAAGTATAGGGCATTTCGATCAAAAAATTATGATAAGAAAATTTGATCGAAATGATAGATTGAACATTTCAAAAAAATTCAGAAACAAATGGTATGCAATTAGAAATTTAGGAACAAATAAGACTTTAGGTATTATATAAAGACAAATTGATATGTTTACCATAATTTTATGCTATTATCATTATTTTGGGTTAAAATCTTAACATACTAGTTCCGTTGAGAGCCTTAGATGTGTGAGTTTTTTTAAAAAAAAACTATTATCATTGCTTTTTTTTATTGTTATTATTAATTTTATAAATTTACAATGAGTGATCAATGTTTTTTTATTTGATCATAAGCCACAAAAAAAAAAAAAAAACTCAATGAGGTTTTAGCTCATCGACAGTGGCCTTTTGCTTATATGTAAGAACTCATGGGTTCAAATTTTAGTTCCGTTAAAAGCTCTGTGTCCTCGAGATAAAAATAAAAAATAAAAAAATAACCACGGAAAATAAGGTTTGTCTTGGAGACTAGAAGCCTTTATGACTTTACCTAATCCTGTACTTCAGTATGGATCAATGAACCTGCCCTAGGTCTAGCTAAATTGTTAGCAATATTGAAGATGAGATCACTTCTTCATGTCTATAATACTAGAATGGCTTCCTCTTCTTGTCAAAAAAATTCAGGTCTGACCACTTATTTGCAGACTTAATTAATCTAAAAAATTATCTTCTGTATTTTATTGTTACACTAATTGCGATTGATCACTTTTTTTATAGTGATTGAATAATAATTTTAAAAATTAATTACATCAATCAAATTGAAAAAAATATATTGATAGTGATTATTTAACGTAAATCTTATTTTCCATGATTAAAAGATAAATGTAAAGAAAGAATTAAAGACTTGTTTGACGGATTCAGGCACAGTAGTCCCAAACTATTTTGGCGCAGGGATGACATGGTAATGCAAATGGGCCCATCGTGTTATTATCTGGGCCCAATTTATTTGGACTCGTAATTTGGAACTTTTAATGGGCTTCAAATATGGGTTGAGAAGCATGTACACAAAATATCAGCCCGAGACACAATAGATTGGCAAATCCTTCTTCTTCTTCTTCTGCTCTCATTCTCTCTCCCTCTCTCTCTCTCTCTATTTTAGACCCTCATGACGATGAGTCTAATGGTTTGTGCCTTAATCAAATTAAATTTACTTTATTTTCTAAAATAATTTTAAAAATACATTTTTTAACGCTAATTCGGGCCATTCGTTAGTTAAATTCTTCTAAATATTAGTTTTAAGATTCAATTTTTTTAACAAAAAAAACTCTTTTGGCACCACAATAAATGTTGAAAGTTTAGATCGCTTTTAAATACAAAAATTTAATAAAATACATAAATAGACATAATCTAATGTATCCCATATTTTTTTTAGTGAAACAAATTTTAGTTCTAATAACTCCAGTTTTATTGGTTACTACCTAATAAAAAATATTACTCTCATAGTATAATTCAAGGCGTACAAAAAAAAAAAAAAAAAAATCATGGCCTACGTTGGGTCCCGTCCTTATTAGTAATCATACAATTCGTTCAAGGATTGTATAAAATAACTTTTTTAATTTTTTATTATATTGTTAATTGAGTTGAGTTTATCATTGAATATAGGTTAATTTTTTAATACATTTTTATGAAGATTTTTAGACTAAATTATTAGAATTATTCACATAATTTGTGTGTGATTAGTTTTTAATCACAGAATAGAATTGCAAGCTAATTAAGTATAAGATTTTTTTGTGGAAATTGTATGATTAATTATAACAGTTTAACTTAAAAAATTTTATAAAAAAAAAAAAAAGGATTAGACACTTGATTTTTTTTTCTTTCTTTTTTTGTTTGATTCACCACAATTCACAGCTATTGTTTACCATATTCGATCAAATTAATTTAATGTTGATATTAGTCTCTCATGCTATCATTATTTTATGTGAGAATTTTTTTCGGAGATGTATAAATTTGATTGTTAATAATTTATCTAAAATTAATTTTAAAAGAATAAAATTTCCGTAAGTTAAAATTGATAAAAAAAAAATCCAAATAATATTTTAAAAAAAGGGGGATCGAATATCACTAAACAGGCTAGTTTACGAAGAAACAATAAGCAACAAATTCACGAAAGAGAGAGGGACCACATCAGTGTGGGAAGACAAAGACACTTCCGTGCAAGGACTGAGCAGTGCCGGTGATGAAGAATTGGAAAAATTGAAAGCATCGAGCACTACTACCGTGCAAAGGAGTAAATTATAAATTAGTCCTTTTAGTTTTTAGAAATAAACTAACTAGTATCTTTTATTTCAAAAATTAATTATTCAATCTTTTTTATTCATTTTATATTTTTTTTCTATTTTTTAGAAACGATATATGAAAAATGAGTTTATCATGTATTATTTGATTTTTTTTTAATTGAGATCCTTTATTCTTTTTTATCTTGATTGAAATCCTTTATTTTTAAAAATTTATTGATTCAAATCATTTTTTAACTCGTATATCCGACATAGAATATTAAAATTAATGATAACCAATCACACATAGACACGTGACATAATGGATCTCAATTCTTATACTACTTTGTTGAAAAAAAATGATTTCTTTTATTAAACTATGAAAAAGACATCATTGCCCCCAACCCCATTATCCCAACCCAACTTATTCTTTTTCATTATTAAGCCTTATTTCCATTTTTTCAAACTCATCCTTCCATTCTCTTTAGCTGAAAAATTATAATTCCTAAATCTCAAAAAAGAGTAAAAAGATTAATATTTCAATCATAAGGATCTTAATTACGAAGTTACAGTGACCAAAAAACAAAAGAAGAGCAAAATTGATAAATAATAATAATACTCTTCAACACCATATTTCAATTTTTAATTCTTCATTCATCATCCTGCCTACGTAACCTAGCAAGCATGTTAGAAACAACAACATCAAGCTGAGCAGCTCGCTCCAAAATCCGTTTCCTCTTTCTTGTTGACACGTTATGTGCTATCTCAACATAGTAAATCCTGTTGTGCTTCATTAACACTTCAAGCTCTTTGATATATATCGTGGACAACATATTTCTTGAAGCCGTTTGGAAGATAATGGCGAGTCTTCTTGTCAAAGTCGTAGCCAACATTGGGCATTAGAGTACATCCTTGGAACTTTCTTTGGACATGAGAATCAATACCCTTTGGCCTACGCCAATTTGTCTTGACAGAGATCTTGCGGTCAGTTTGTGGTCATTTGAACTACTTAACTCTCTTTTTAACAATCTTCTTCGTAAGCAACAGCACCGTCATTTTCACTTGCCTTGTGTGATTTTGCTACGCCTTCGAGGCTCTGGATTTGGAGTTAGGTTAAGATTTTTTGTGGGTTTCTGATGTTGTTGTTGATGACGACGACAATAAAGAGACTATTATTTGGTGGATTGTAATTCAAGGAGCTTGGCATCACTATTTTCTTATCTTGGCCTCTTAGTTCCATGAAACTTAATTTGCCATTAGTTCCATGAAACTTAATTTGCTGTCTAAACCCTTTGTCTTGATCTCCACCTGCATTGCCTTGCCCATCTTTCATAGTTTTTGATTTTGACATTAATGGGAGCAAAACTCACTAATCCATTTCGCCAATTTCAACTCCTATTCTTAAAGGCGCAGAGATTGAGAAAGAGACAGTGAGAAGAGAGAGTGGCAATGTTAAAATGTTAAATACTATTTCGATTTGAGCAGAGATAATAGGTTGGGGGTAATCTTGTTTTTTCCACTTATGTTTAAATACTAACTATTAGTTTAATAATAAAATATGTTTTTTTGTTTGGACAGAGGCTGTGCAAGTTGGCTTCTACTATATTATATGTTCATATGTGATTGTTCATTTTTAATTTTAACGTGTCATGTTAAATTTATAGTTTATAAAATTATAACGAAAGTATTGAATCAATAAATTTTTAAAAATAAAAAATTTTAATTAAATAAAAAAAAGATTTTAATAAAAAAATTCGAACAATCTAGTGATCAAAAACAGAATAAACCCATAAAAAATAATAAATATTATGAAAAATTCGATGAAAAAAATATTTTATGAATACATTAATATTAAATTAAATATGATTAATTTTGATTTAAATATTAAATAATTATTTTTTAAAACAAAATGGATTAAATAATTTTGTTCATCGAATCTAGAGAAATTAATTTATACTTTATTTCCAAGCAAAAGCACAACCATTTGAGTTTTTGATGCCTTATTTTTATTTTTCTTCTTTTGGGTGTCATGACCCGTGACTCCATCAACAATCAACCTTTGGGCTTTGTAAGTTGCTCCTGCCTTCCACGACTGTACAAAGAATGAGTTGTCATGGCATTTCCACGTTATCGGCCTGTTTTTGAAGCAAAAAGAAGCAAGAACCACATGGTCGACATGATCGAGATAGACGCATTATTGTTACTTGTTCTTTTCTCTCTCTCTCATTAATTGTTTAGCTTTCTTTGTTTAACGTAAATTATGATTCAAACTAGTTTGTTTTTTAATCATTAATTAGTGAAACTAGATTTGATCAGTTCGAATGAATTTTACTTTTTTTTTAGTAGTGTATGATATTTTTGGTCCAATAGTTAGAATGCATGGAAAAAAAAATATTATATTCATCAAATTATCATTTACACCATCAAATTGAATAAAAAATCAACAACTAATGTTTCATATAAGAGAATAATTAAGTTTGATTAACAAGCCTTCATAGTGTTCAAAATCAATCTTCCATGACAAGAGATTATCTCATTGCATCTCCACTAATAAGTTTAAAAATAAATATATCCGTCTGTTTTTATATAATACTTAAAGTTTTTTTATATATTTTTAAGTTTTTAATTATATTTCATTTATATTTAAAAGTGTTTTTTGTGTTAAATAAAAATAAAGGCTTGTGATGCAAAGAAAGTGTATTTATGCAAAAAAAAAAGTGTATATTTTTTAGGTATGTGACTTTAAGTTTTTTTTTTTTTCACATTCTAATAAAAGATATTTTGTTAAAAAAAAATTCATAATCGAAAAATTTGATCAGAAGAACATATCGAATATTTTAATTTTTTTCAAAGAGAGATGGGATGCAATTGAAAATCTAAAAGAAAATGAGATAATTTAAATATCATGTAGAAACAAAGAAGTATATTTATCCTAATTTTAATTACTAATTCGATCAGTAAAAAAATTGTATTTTTATTATTACCAAATTATTCTTTGTGGTTTGCGAACTTGTAAGAATTGCTAACTTAGTCAAATTAAAGCCAGTTTTTATTCATGAATGATCGACTATTGGGAATCTAAATTTATTGCTTATTACCAATTTGGTCAATCAAAATTCCATGTAATCAAATGCTTTATTGCTGAGAATTAAAAATTGATCTCTATCTTTTTGAAGTAATTGTTAATAAATACTTCCATAACAAATTTAGCAGATAAGCCCTCGGATATAATTTTATCAATCTTTCAAAGCTGTTAATCGATCTCTATAAAGTATCTTTCGTTTGCATGAGAATTCTGTGCAAAGTTTGTGATGCAAATGAATTCTTATAAAATGAAGATGAACGTTATTTAACTCTTACCATTTTTGGCTCAATAAAACCAAACTTCACAGCTCCATGCAATGAATCGTTAGGATAAGGAGTTGTAGTGTTTGGTAAATAACAGAGTAAATTATAAATTAATATTTTTTATTTGAAAAATTAATTATTTAACCATTTAAACAGTGTTGATTGTGTTAAAATTTAATAGCGTTTTATTTCATAAAATTTCATTTTTTCTCACTATTTTTTTTTTAAAATCAAATGAATCGAAAAAGAGAAAAAAAAAAAAGAACTAAATTATAAGAAAATTAAAAATATAAAGATTAAACAATTATTTTTTCACATAAAGGAGACTAATTATTTTATTTTTCAAAACTAAAACGATTAATTTATGTAACCTACTTTAGATTAGGTATTCTCAAATGCAAGATAACGAACAGATATAATAGGAAGATCAAATATAATAGGAAGTTCTCCACACTCACAGCCTCTGAGCCTCCTCACCAAACAACCAAAAATTTTCCAACTAAAAAATCAAGAAAAGCATGCAAGGCAAACCTACCAAACATTTACAGAATCATTAAAAAGGTTCCGACGTTTGCAGAAATCACACTCAAAACACTCACCTTAAAAACATCACCATCTCCAACTTTTCAGGGTCCACGTGACCCAACAACACTCACGTGTCAATCAGATGACTACTCTACCCTCAACAAACAATCACCCTTCGTAGTTTTAGAGTTTCTTATATTGAGATTATGGTGTTCAGAAAGTTTTGTTTTTCCTCTCAAACCCCCAAAGGCAACAAACATGGAGTAAATTATAAATTAGTCCCTCTTATTTTAAGAAATATATAAATTAGTTTAGTTTATTTTAAAAATTAATTATTTTTAGTCTTTTATGTTTTAATTCTATCAATAATTTAGTTTTTTTAATCAATTTTCTGTTAGATTACTATTTTTATGCTTTATTTCTCTTCTTCACCCACATTCTTTCTCTCTTCTTAAAAAAAAAAAATCAAAAGAAGGATAATTTGCAAACCAAAATCACTAGTCTAATGAAAAAAATGATAAAATGACTACATTATTGATGTAATTAAAATATAAAAAACTAATTTAAAGAAAGGAAACTAATTAATTTATTTTTCTAAACAAGAGAGACTACTTTATAATTTACTATAGATAAATGATGATATTTCATAAATATCCTTACATGATTTTTTTAAAAAAATCAAAGCTTATAGTAAGCTTTTTCATTAGTCATATTTAACTATGAGAGACCACATCAAAATTCTTAAAAACTATGGTGTCGGTATTGCAAAATTGAATAGTAATTTTTGTCCTAAAATATTGATGATGATTTTTGTTTTCAAATAGTATCAACATGTTATAGCTAGTGTCATATAAGATTCGTCATTCAAATCTATTTTTTTTAATATAGAACAAGAGAAATGACATTATTCTATAAAATTTCAAATTAGAAAGGTTTAGATTAAATATTTTTGAATTTACAAAGACTAAATTATATGTATTATCCTCAAAACCCTATAAATATGATGATAGCTCATAAATATTTATACAAAATTTAAACAATCAAGCTTATAATAAGCTTTTTCATTAGTCATTTAAATACAACATATGTATTACAAAATCGAACAATGATTTTCATATTGAAATGTGGATAATGAGTTTTTCAAATAGCACCAACCACATTATAGGATATCAAAAGAAATAGGATTATCCTACAAATTTTCAAATTACAGAGGCCAAGATTGAACATTTCAGAATCTATAAGGGCTAAACTATACAGATTACCGCAGATGGACCGATCCTGTCATTTCAAAGAAACAGTGAATTTAGAAGGACAATTGAAAGTTCGGTATACTTAATTACGTATTTAAAAACATATTACCCCAAAATTATCTAGTGGACCCCACACAACTCGTGCTCTTTCTCTAAAATGCTTCGCCGTCAGAAAGAAAGCTCACCCATCCTCCTGCAAACATTTTAGAGTTTTTCTCTCTCTCTCTCTCTTGGAGCGCACGATAATCAGTACTACAGAACACGAACAATTCTAATGGGTGCGTAGGCTAAGAAAATTCAAGCGCAAATTAGCAGAAGCACAGCCACCAAAACTGTGATATGCTTGGTGTACTTTGCGCACGCCCCAAGCCGAACTGGATCCTCAACTCTCTCTTCACTCATTTCAATCTCAACCACCAGCACAACAGTAACAACCGCCTTTCTCTACCCCTCTCCGATTCCTCCACCGCGGCTCGCCGCCACCAATCTAGCTTGTGCAGCGCTGATTCCGGCGGAGGGGGAGCGGCGGCGATATGGCACGTGATCCAGCCCGCGGACTGGCGGAGGAGGAGAGAGAGGAGGAGTGTGAGAGGGGAGGGGTCGTGGAACGTGGCGTGGGATGGGAGACCGGCGAGGTGGCTCCACCGGCCTGATTCGGCTTGGTTGTTGTTCGGCGTTTGTGCTTGCCTTGCTCCGGCGTTTGAGGTTTTGAATGATGTGAATATCGAGGAAGGTGGAAATTTTGTTGTTGATGTTGATCATCAGGAGAAGGAGAGAATTGACGGTGGTGATTTGATTGCGAATGCAGTGAATTCTGATGACGTGAAACAGGATAGCAGTGACTCTGCTGCTGGTTCTGATTATAAAGTTACAGGTTGGTTGCAATTATTACTCTATGAAAGTAACCTTAGACTCTGTTTTATTGTTTTTTGTGCTTTCTCTATATTAAAAAGATTCTCTCTTTTGGTTTATTTGTCAGTGTTTTTATGAGTAGTGATGTTTGTTAATTTGATCGATGAACTGGTTAATTGTTATTATTATTTTGTTGTGAATGAATATTTTTGTGATTAAAAGTTATGGATTTGATTTATATATATATAAGACAGTTTTATATTTAATATAATTGCAAAAATATTGAACTTTATCTATTGTTTGTGAATTTACTAATCTTTTCCTTTTCATTTTTCCTTTAAAATTTGCTAGCTTTGTATTATGGATGCTGCTTTTCAGTCAAATTTTCGAATTTCAAATTTTTTTTTTAATCTCTGTGTTCGGTGCAAACTACAATGAAGCAAAGCATAAAATTTTACCTTTTCTTTCAATTGTTGCTTTGTTTAGTTGATAAAGTGATCTTTCAGAATCTTATTTATATCTTGCAGTGACCTTTTCCAATATTTCTATTTAGGGCAAATATATGTGCATTCGTGAACGATCATACATGTAAATGTGGTTTTAATTCATTAATGTTGTTGTCGTTTCTCAACGGCATATGTGCATGCATGCGCATGTTTGTGTTTGGATGGGAAGAATCTAAAATGAGGTTAGTACAGGGGTGCTGGCGGATGGGCGATGTCTATTTAGAGCAATAGCTCATATGGCATGTTTGAGAAATGGAGAAGAAGCTCCTGATGAAAATCGCCAAAGAGAACTTGCTGATGAATTAAGAGCTCAAGTAAGCGTTGTGTTATCGAGTTCTTAAGAATATAGTCGATGGTGCAATTCATGGAATTGTTTTTATGATAGTGTATTTGTTTAATTTTGAAAGGAGATTTTAGAGCCAAGGAATTGAACTGATATTCTTTTTTTTTTTTTTAATATATATATATATATATATATATATATATATATATAACTCTTATTGGATGATGTAAGTTTGGATTATATTGGGAGAATAGGGGTGCTTTTGAGACAAGTCCCATATTTTCTAATGAATCTTGTGACTAGTTAGATCAGTCTAATTTCAACACTGATCCGGATTTTGGTTTAAAATATGAATTCAATCCTACAGAACTCAAGATTTCAAATAAGGCAATTGGCTCAAACAGAATATAATTGAATTTAATTGAAGTTGATTTCTCTAGGTATGAACTTCCCAATATGTTTATCGGATTCAAATAATTTTCTTCATGGTCTAATACCAGAATTTGTTTTAATAGGTTGTTGATGAGCTTTTAAAGAGGCGGGAAGAAACTGAATGGTAAGTCTGTGACTGTTGGATTTGCGAGCTCCTTCTGGTTTATCAGTATTCTGTAATAGTACTTATTGTTTTTTTTTTTTTTTTTTTTTTTTTTTTTTGTGATCAACTAAGGTTTATTGAAGGAGATTTCGATGCATATGTCAAGAGAATTCAACAACCTTATGTATGGGGTGGGGAACCGGAGTTGTTAATGGCTTCTTATGTTTTAAAGTGAGTTTGAGTCCTTAATTTCTTTTATTGCTTCCATTACCGAATAGTTTATACATGCTGGCTCCCTTGCTGATCCTTGATCTCATGTTGACACAGCTCTTCACTTTTTTCCTCTCACTTATGAATAAACCCCCCCCCCCCCCCCCCCCCCCCCAAAAAAAAAAAAAAAAAACTAATTCACTTTAGTTTAGATATCTAAAGTAGTTTTTGCCCAGTTCTTCTGAAAGAGTCCCCATCTTAAAAGTCGGCCCGAGGAAACAGCAAAATCCTTCTTTACTTTAAAGCTGTCTATTTCTTGGAATCAGTCTCCTGCATACGTGTTTGTGTGTGGAAGGGTGTGCATGTCTGCGTGTTGATGGATTATGTGGAGGGATAAGGCTTGTTATTGGTCCACTCTGTTGAAAGTGCCTCATTCAAAACTGAATGGTGTGCGAAAGGGTGATGTCAAAGCAAAACAGATTTGTTATACTTCTACATAGCGCGCAAAATGATCTCATCACCATTGTTGGACTTGCATGCTGTTTTTGAATTCCAATTTCCTTATGTTTTGCTTGACCTTTATGTTTGACACAACTTTTCTCTGAACTCAATGGCTCAGGACAATGATATCAGTGTTCATGAGAGACAGGACAACGGGTAATTTGGCTAACATAGCAAATTACGGTGAAGAGTACCGGAAAGATGAAGTCATTCCTATTAATGTGCTGTTTCATGGATATGGTCACTATGACATCCTGGAGACAACCCCGGGTCAGAGTTACCAGAAAGTGGACATGTAGAAATTGATGTAGTTTATTAAATTGTTACATGCAATTCAATCAAAATAAGAATCTGTCTCAACTTCGATAAATTTGCTGCTGCAACCTCAGTTCGAGCAACAGACTTGCAAACTTTTTGTAGGCTCCAGGATTTTTCTTACCATTTTTGAATTATCGATCAAGACAACAAGAATGTTTTCTGGATAGCTCTTAATGTGCCTTTTCGTTTAGCTTTTTTCCATAAAAGCAGCAGCTCTCCTCCTCCTAGTATATTTGAGTCTTTACCTTTTCCACTATGGTAGATTTTTTTTTCCCAGTTTTGTACCTCTCAGACTTGCACTGCTGACAGATATTTGCTTGAAAAATGGAGAAGGCAGTTTGGGATTTTACTGAGCTACCTGAGGCTCCTTTCACTTTGTGTCGGTACTTTCCACTATTACAAAGCCATTTTCTATGCTTTTCTTTATGTAACCTTTTTTCTCTGCTTTTAACTGACAGTTTGCTCTGTATTAATTTGGAATTGAACTGTATACTGTATTTGATTGATTGGTTGAAACTGGCAATAAAATAAGGTTTTACTTCGGCGATCTTCCCATAAATGTCTCTTCTAGCTGCTCGGAAGATAGCTGACAAGAGAACGCAAGGACTTTCGTCAGCATCCACTAGTTAGGTTGGCATTTATCCCTGTTCTCTATGTATGCTGATGCCTTTGGAATCTGAATGGTGAGCTTTGACTTTAGTTAGTGCTGGTCACTGCCCTGTCAGTTGGCCTTTCTATGCTGAAAATCTCTCCTCATCACTTTTAAATGCTTCCAATCGTTTCTTCCTTTTTAATGCTACTATTTATGAGATTTTTGTATTGAGGTCTGCTACTCTTCTTCAAATTCCTGAAATAACCTTTAATTGTTAATGATTTGTACGTGCAAACATACAATATTTGATTAAGATGGTTGACCAGATTCTGGGGCGGATCCTTGAGTTAATTAGCTTAGGCATCACTGCACTTCCATAATTTTCATAATGTTGTGCTCGATCAGGAGGTCGAATGGAATATCTCCACAAATTGAAAGTTTGAAATGGTTGACGGATCCTTCAATGTTGTACCCTATCAGGATGTTGTACTCTGAAAAGAATGATCTCAGACAAATTGAAAGTTTGAAACGGATGACCATTTTGAAGTAAGGATTTACAGAGCATACGTTATAGAACTTACGAGTCACTTGCCCACGTTATGTTACGGCTCCAGTAGAAAAAAATCAATTTAAAATTTAAAATTCTTTTAATTATAACTTTTTATTTAATTAATTTTGTTATTTTTTTTAATAAATTTTTTACTTAAAAAAACATAAATCATTTTTCTTTATTGATTGATTTTAAAATTAAAAAATATAATAATTTTAACTAAATTATAAATCAAGAATTTAAAAAAAATTTAAAAATATAATTTTCATAATATTGTATTCAAAAAAATAAAGTTATAATTAATGGAGAGACTTTTCCAAAAATTAACAAATGAAAATTTTTTTTCTTATTTAATGCCAACGAAAAGATCATTTTTTGAAATTATCTCGCATAACGTTACGAGCAAATAGAACAAAATCATTTAAAAATTTTAAAAATTTTTTATTATTTTTTATTTAACTATTACCATTTTTTTTTGTTTTTCATAAAATTTCTACTTGAAAAAAACATGATTTATTCTTCTTTATTCGGGGATTCTTAAATAAAAACTTATAATAATTTAAACTTGAAATATTAATTAAAAATTCAAAAGTAAATATTTTAAAATTATATATTTTTTTCTAAGAATGTAACCAAAAATTAAAGTTACAATTAACGTATAGACTTGCATAAAAATTTATTCTTATTTAATGTTGGTGAAATTTTTTTTCCGAGTATATGCATTAGATCTATATATATTTAGTTGCAAAACATTCAACGAAAGTAGCATAAAAAAACTATATTTGAACAATTGGTTGGCTCCTTTAAAAAAATTATTTTAATTATTTTGTTTCAAATAAATTGGTTCTATAATGTTAAAAAAAATATTCATAGTAAATAATTTGTATTATGTTGAAAAATGTATTGTTAATTTTTAATAAAATCAATAATTCAATAGTTTTTTTTTATATATTGACCAAACCTAGTGAATCGAGATAAATTATTTGAAATCGACTTCGACCTTTTAGAATAAAATAATTATATATTTTTATATGCGCAACTATCATTTAAAAATTTTAAAAATTCATGATATATATTATACCAATTTATTTATTTATTTATTTTTAAATCATATTTTAAAATTCAAACATAGAGAAAAATAAATTATATTTATCGGTAAATATAATCTTATATAAAAATATTAATTGGATGAGAATTTCATAAAAAAATAAATTCAAAGAATAAAATTTAAACGATAAGAGTAATATAAGTTGTAACACAAAATTTCAATTAAATTTATAACTATCAATACCCAGTTAAAAGGGATGCAAAAAATAACCAAGGAGGACCCTCATTCAGAGGAATAAAAGGAAATAGCAATTCCAGTTACAAATGAACTGATGGGACCTCAAATTTTTTAAGGCACTCATGAGCTTTTAGGGGTGGAGGCATTGAAATCAAAAAAATAAAAGAGAACAAAGAAAGGGCACGAGGATTACTATAGAGCATTTAATGCTGGCAAGAACAATAGAGAAAATGACAAAAAAGGCAGCAAAATAAGTGAAAAAAACAAAGCAAAGCAGGGCATAAATGTAACATGCCAATCAAATAAAATGGCAAAGAAGCAATTAAGCAGACAACTCAAGGGCGTAATTAAGGAGGACAAAGCTATCCCAGCAACGACATAAACAAATCAAAGAGCCAGAAACAATTAATAATATCAGTCCACAGTGCAAATGGGTGTAGATGAATAATCTAAAAACAGGAAATCCACCACCTTTTTTAGTTTTTTTTTATTAAATTTTTTACTAATGTTATGCTGTGGATTAGATAAAATATATAAAATTATTTTAAAAAAATAATATTTCAATTTGATAGTCTGTATTATAATGTGAATATATAAAAATATATAAAATCAAAGGTAAAAAAAATTATTTATAATTATTCAATCAAAATTTTGTATTTAACTATTTTGTATTTTTATTTTTTATGATTTTTCTGTTAAAAAAAGGATTTATTCTTGTTAATGCATGGATTATTAACTAAAAAAATTAAATAAAAATTTTAAAAAAGCTTTAGTATTTCATAAGATTGTGTTGAAAAACTAAACTAACAATTAATAAAAAGTTACATAGAATTGAACAAAAAAAAATTATTTTTTTATTTTTATATGATGTTGATGAGAATATCAGTTTTTTTAAAAAATTTTGAATTTAATTTTTATATATTTATTTACAAAAAAATAAATAATATTAAAATAAAAAACTATATTAATTTGAATCATTGAGAAGTTAAGCCAAAACATAATTTTAATTATTTAATTTAAAATAAATTAATTTTTAAATATTCAAAAATAAATAAATAAATAATAAATGCTAAGTGTAGTAGTAGTTGCATAGTTAATTTATAAAAAAAAATAACGATTCAATATTTTTTTATACATCATAACTATATTAAGTGGATTTAGAGTTTTCAGCATAAAACAAAAAATACTATAAAAAAAAGTTAACTTATAAGAAATATATTGACTAAATTTGAAGTTAATATACTAAAATAAAAATTATTACAAAATTGATTTCGATAAATTTTGATATATAAAGAAGAAACAAATAAAACAAGTGAATTCTTTTTCTTTTTTTCCTCCTAAAATAATTTTTTATTTTTATGCTATACATGGCTAGTTCTTGAATATAGGCCTCACCCGTAGAGCAACTATGTCTTTTTTTTTTTTTTTCCACATTTGACTCTCAATTATTAATTTCCTAATTTGAGTTTTCTCTAAAAAAATTGAGAAAAAAATATTTGAAGTACACTTTTAATCTAAAAAAGTATTTTAGACAAATGATATATATTAATCATGCCATTATAATTTAAAAATTATATAAATCTATTTTTCAAAAGAAAAAATAATTATGTTTTAAAAATTTATTAAATATGGAAAAATAAATCAAAACTGAAATAAAATTTTCAATTAATTTGATGAGAATTTTTAAAAAATGACAAACTAAAGTAGTAAATTTTAATTAATACAGGTAATTAATAAAAAACACTAAAACAAAATAGGAGCAAATCACAATACAATTGAAGTTTGAAATTGAATATATATATGTGTGTGTGTATAGAAAAATTAAGGACCAAAGTATATATAAAAAATAATTTGTGAGTATGTGAATAATGATTTGTGAGTATATGAATAGTGATTTATGAGTATGAGAATAATATTATGAATAGTAAAAACTCATTTTGTTTTACTATTTTTTGTAAATTGTTAAAAAATTTCATTAATTTTTAATTATTTGAGAATAAATTTTTCACTTTAATTTCAAATTGATTTTTTTTTAATTATTTTTGTTTGAAATTATGTTATTTTATTAGATTTTTTTTAACTTTAGCCAATAAGTGCAATTTCTCAATTTCTAAAAGTATATAAAAATTTACAGATATTTTATTTAATTTTTTTTTCAAATACTAAAAAAAAATATTTTAAAAAATCAAGAAAAAAAACATTTGCATGTTTTGACATATTTTTAAATATTTAAAAATTTAAGAAATCAATCACGTACAACTTATGCATGCTTTTAGTGTAAAAATAGATGAAAATCTAAAAAACAAAATCAATTTACAATAAAAATAATTTAAAAATTCTAAAATCTAAAATTAAAAATTAACATATTAATTTTTAGATACTTAAATTTCAGAAGAAAAAAAAATTGTACCACTTGGCTTTTTAAATAAATCTAGCATGAAGTGGTATTAGTGGAAAAGAAAAAAAAAGCAAAAAGTAAGAAGTGAACAGTAACCAAATCCAAAAAAAAAAGGCAGCAAAAACAAGTGTGAACAGTGAATGAATGAATAGTCTATAAACAGTAATTTATTGTGTGAAAAATTCCATGCCTTTTAGTTATATACTTTTACAATAAAAATAATATAAAAAATCTGAAATTACAAATTAACATATTAATTTTTAGATACTTAAATTTCAGAAAAATAAAATTGTACCACTTGGCTTTTTAAATAAATCTGGCATGAAGTGGTATCAGTGGAAAAGGAAAAAAAGAAGCAAAAACAGAAGAAGTGAACAGTAACCGAATCAAAAAAAAAACCCAAGGCAGCAAAAACAAAGTGAACAGTGAATGAATATTCTATAAACAGTAGTTTACTGTTGAAAAATCCCATGCTTTTTAGTTATATACTAATCATTATTTTAATTTTTGAGCTATCATTCTTTTTTCTTTTCTGCCTGCAAATATTACCTGGGCTGGACGGATTTACCATGAGAGAAAGGATTTTGGAATCGCACTGATTGGACTTTGGAGTACATTTCTAGGCCTGAAAAAGTTATATGGGAGGCACAGTGGACGAATTTTAGAACAGATTCGAGATCCAACCAAGAATGGCTCTCGTAAAAAGAGACAAATAGTAAGAACTGTCAACAGAGGGCTCTTTATCTTGAGCGGTTTAGGATGCCAAAAATTGCATGTCGTTGTTCAAACGCCAATGAAGTGTTTGAAGGATTAGACCAGATATATAATTGATGGATGTGATTAGCTATCTCAGAAAGCCCCCTGTTCAATGTTCAGTGCCACTAGATCCAACAGCGAAAAAACCAGACACAGGTGTTTCCCTTTCAATTTGTTAGGTTTCTACCCGTGGAACGGGTCTTATAGTTCGACCATTCATGCAGATGGAAGACATAACTATTGGCAAGCTATTCCCGTATACAACATTATTGAATGGCAATATTTTTGCTGATACAGTTATAGTGCAAATCAATTGGCTCTGCAAAGAAAGAAGATACGGAACTGAACTCTAAATGAAAAGTACAGGAGAGTGAATAGCTCACAGCTTTCTAACGAGAAGATTCACTCCATGTTCAGGTTCTATAACCAACTTAAGAGCTGGGGAGTGAATATATTTGGGTGATATCGTGAAGGAGAAGCTGGAGACAATAGTTGCGAGGAGAATTTTTAGTTCTGCCATGGCAAAATGCTGTCCTAGACATGTCCGTGGCCCAACACCAAATGGCATGTAAACATGAGGATACTTGCAGGCGCCACTGACCCCATTGGCAAACCTCTCAGGATTGAACTTGTCAGCCTCAGGTCCCCAAATTTCAGGTTCTTGGTTTAGAGTGACAATCAATGTCCAAACGTTGACGCCCTTGGGCACAAAAATTTCTCCAAATTTCATGTCCTGCAATGCCTCCCTGGATATCACACAAACAGGAGGGTAAAGGCGCAAAGATTCGTGAATCACCATTGTCAACTGCAATCCAATCAAGTTGTTCTTCAGTTAAATGATGTTTTCACAGTTTAAGAACAAGAGAGATAATTCAAAGCAAAAGGCATAGATGATAGCACTCACTGTTTTCATCTTGCGAACCGTGTCAGCATCCGGCAGTTGCCCCCCACAGGCTTCACGCACCTCTGCTCGGACTCTATCTTGCCATTCAGGATTTGATGCCAAAAGCATCATCGTCCATGTTGCAGTGACAGAAGTAGTTTCATAGCCAGCCAAGTATATGTTCTTGCAATTGTCAACGACGAAGCGGTCCATTTCATCTTGGCCGGATTCACTATCCTTAGCTCCTTTGAGTATTATTTCCAACAGGTCTTTCGACGTTGCTTCTTTTACTTCCTTCACTTCCTTCAAAATTAAAGCACGCACTTCTTTCTCTAATCTCCACACTTCCCTGTTGCTCTTGGTTGGCAGAGACCTGAAAAATTGCAAAATTAACTGTGTTTTTAAACACACAACACTTTTGATAAATTTGAAGGTTAAAAAACTTTAATTTTGTAATGATGTATACCTCAAAATGGGAATCCCAGATGATAAAGCTTTCTTCGACATAGCTCCTTGAAGAGCTCTGAGCTTGAGGAATATCTCTTCTCCTTTGGCATAATTACTCCCAAAACATGCTTTTGAGATTACATCTCCAGAAAAGCTTCTCATGTCTTCATCAATGTTGATGTCCACAACTCCTCCCTCAGTTTCAATCTTTTTAGTCCACGAATCAACTACTATATTCGAGGATTCGACCATTATGTTCATGAAATTCTACAAAAGTTGATTCATTGATCGAAATAGTAAGCAACTGTAGAGTAGAGATATATTATGCCAAAGATCGAAGCATTTAGTACCTTGACATTCTCCATGTAAAATTCAGGAGCAAGGATCTTTCTTTGGTGTGCCCATATCGCACCATTTGAGGTCAGAATACCTTGGCCAAGGAGAGGACCACGCTCTTTTACTTGATAAGAAGGCTTCCCCAAGTCTAAAGAAGTGCATATGCTTATTTCCTTCACCGCATCAGGATGGTTCATGTGCAATATTTGTATGTTCCCAAGTGAGAACATAAATGTTGAACCTGTAAAATGCTAGCAATTAGAACCTTCGCTTGAAATGATATTGCAACATAATTAAAATTGAGAGATCTGAGAGTTAATCGATACCGTATTTCTTGCTCCATTGCTCGAAGAATGAGAAGGGAGTGTTAGAAGAATTATGACTAATCACTTGTTCTCCTTCCTGTGCTGCTTTTGAGACCTTAGCTTGTGCCCTCTTAATGTCACGTATGTTTCCAAGCAAAAATGCAGGCGGGGGACCTCGGATACCTTGCTTTCGCAGCTTAGAACGAAGCCTTTCAGGCTTCAATATCAGAGCATCACACATCCGAATGACAATGCCGATAAAGCCGACAACAGCAATGGCAACTGTGATCTTAGGCAGCAGCAGCAGAAGGTCCATGTTCTGTTCTCCTCTTTGCCTCTCTTAAGTGCAACTGATCTGCAAGTGCTTTCTCCCTGATATAAGCTTTAATTATATAGCTCCGTTGTGGGATAAACTTGTACATATGCATAGGTGCCTTGGCGTTCTCTCCTACCAAGATAAATCCAGATAAAAGGATCTGAAATGCAGACAAGTCCTAACTAACAATGTTGAGGAACTTTAGCTGTGTTTACCCATAAAAAAAACGAAAAGAGAATATGATCAAATAGAGCCAAGTAAGACAGACAACAATTGGAGTTACCAAGCATATACGTAAACTCTTACCATCATCAGTTGTTTTCAAGCTTTTGCAGTTGGTAATTTTCATTATTCCAGGCGTTGGATATTATGTTCTTGGGACATCCGTCTAAAAATACCTTCTTTAAATACCAAAAAATGTTTTTAAATGAACATTACAAAACATCTTATTTTTTATTTAAAATAATCTTAATATTTTAAATCATTTTCCTCAACGTTAAGTGTATTCTGAGTATAAAAAACAGATTTTTATAATATCTTTAAAATTTTTAAATATTCACTATAATTTTATGATATTTTAACAGAGTTATTTTAATTTATCTTTATCTATGTACCAAATTCAGAGTCACCCAAAAGTACTGGACAATTTTTTTCTTCTTTATTGAAATTGGAGTCGCAGTTGTTGAAAATAGTTTAATTTATAATATTTTAACAAAGTTATTTTAATTTATCTTTATCTATATACCAAATTAAGAGCCAATACTTTTCTTTCTTCTTCTTTTTTTTTTTTTGGTTGCCAAAGACAAGTCTTTTTTATTGTTGTCAAAATTGTTGAAAATAATTCAATTTTGTCGCTCCCATCTTTACCATAATCAACATTGTACGATGGAAATATATATATTTTGAAAAAACAAGTCTTCCACAGTTTCCATGCTGGAAAACCTGGTCACGTGGTTGGAGCCTTGAAGGCGCGCACACAGCAAACAAATATTTAGAACTAGCTAGGAGCAATAGTTGTTGCTACGTGGAACTCAAATTCGTATTATTGGAGAAACTAATTAAAATATTTGGGGTGATTAGAATTAATGTAGAAATTAAAATAATATTAAATATTAAGAAAAAATAAATGAATAATTTTTTTTAAGGATATACATGAGTCGTATATTGAATTAGTAGAATCCAATTAAAATCACAATTTATTGAAAGACATTTTTTTGAAGTTTTTTTTTTATTTGTCACTAGAATATATAGGACAGCACTCTAATAATAGGAAATAAACTAATTTTCTAATAAAAAATATAACCAGGAACTTAATACCTAAAAAATCTAGGAATTATTTGGTATCTTTTCCATCTAGTTAACTTTTTTTGTTCTTACAAGCATAAAAGCTAACAATCAATTGTTAGAATAAAAAATTTATGAAACTGGTTGTTGGTTTTACCTCTTTTTTTTTAAAAAGAAAAAAAAATCCAAAACAAACTTGCCATTCTTTTTCGGTTGAAGATACGAAAACTAGAAATGATACCAAATTAACCAAATTCATTCCTCTTCAACATAATAATCAGCCCACTGCCAAAAATGCCTTTTCACATGCACAGCCTTGTCTGCAACCTTCTTTAACCCTAAACAATCCCCATACTCCTCCTCTTCCGTCGTAAAATCCTCGTCCGGCAACCCTTCCACCGTAGCATGCACGGTGTGCACCACATACGTCGTGTCCAACCCGGGATAGGAATCTGACTCCCTCTTCGATTTCTTCATCTTATACGCACCAGGCACAAAAGAAGCCACCCAACTAGGCCCCAGCTCTTCTTTTATAGCACGCAAAGCGGCACCTTCAACGTCTTCATTAGCTTTCATCTTTTCTGAGAGTGGACGTGACCGGGACCGAATCGAGCCATCGGAGAGTTCTTGGTCGGATTCAAGGAGGATTTTATTAGTCTTGTGGTTGAGGATCCGGACCACAGCACAATGGAGTTTCCTGTCTGCCGGGATTGTATCTGATAACATGGACTCACCTCGGCTAAGCTCTAACCAAAGGTTGTGCACGTTCTTGGTGCCAGGTTTTGTGCCCCATGAAGCCAAAGAATCTTGTGGGAAGTGGGTTTTCAGCGATTCTAACAGGGATTCTGGGGGTGGGAAAGCTGTTAGTGTTAGAGTTTTGAAGAGCCATTGGAAATATTTGTGCGATTAGTTGATTTAACAAATCTCGTGTTAAAGGGGAGTTTACATATTAATGTTAAGAAAATCTGAAGAAAAATATTATATATTTTTTTTAATTACGATTGCAAATCACAAGTTTACTCAAATTTGATTCGGTAATTAATTAAATTATTTCTATAATCAATTAAATTGATTCGTTTTATGGACAATGGATTTTCGGCTAAAACAGCCCATCCATGATTTAATCGATCAGTTACAAACTATATTTTCGAAGATGGGCCTATATAATTTCCACGTATTGGCAATAGCAAATGTTCAAAGAGCCCATTAAGACAGGCCCAATCTATCATGCTTTCAAGAGTAAATTATAAATTAGTCTTTCTATTTTTTAAAAATAAATAAATTAATCCTCCTTATTTCAAAAAAAATAGTTATTTAATTATTTGACCAGTGCTAACTATGTTTAATTTAATATTATTTTATTTCAAAAAATTACATCTTTTCTCATTAATCTTTCCATATTTTTACTTATTTTTTTATTTTATAAAATAAAAAATCAAAATAAATTGAAAATAAGAAAAATAATTGAATAACAAGAAAATTTAGAAAGTATAAGAGTTAAATAATTAATTTTTTTTTGAAACAAAGAGATTAATTAATTTGTTTCTTGAAACTAAAAAACTCTAATTTATAATTTACTCATACTTTCAAACATCGTTGTCTGCCAGAAAAGCAAAACAAAACAAAAGACAAAAATAAATACACGTCCCTGTTGAGATTTTATAATATAGTCAAATAATCAGTGTCATAGATCTAATTTTTCGTAAGGGTTGACTCTATACATTACCGCTTGGCCTAAACTTGGTCTCAAAGGACATAACTAGCTAGCTAGGCTGGCTCTAACCATTGATCCAAGGCTTGGTCTCATCATCTTATAATATCCCATAAAGGGCAAGAAAAGCTACAAATTAGCCAAGAAGGAAGGAAGCAAAAAGAAGGGAACAACCATGAATCGGAACTTAAATGCTCTTTCGATTGGACTGGTTGGTGCAGTCATCACCTTGTCTGCTTATTCTCAGACTGTGGTCTCTCCTACACAGTGTATCGCCATTGGTCTCTTTGTTCTCATGTTTGGCTTGCTTGTCAAAGAAGGTTTCGTTTCCCTTTAGTCTATGTATATATGCTAATTAATCACTTCCTTTTGAGGTTTTGTTGAAGTTGGTATTAATCTTATTATCTTAATAATGTTTATTTTCTGTTGTATTGATTAGATTTTGATGGAAGGGATTATATATATATATATTTTTTTTGAGGATTTGTGTGTTTTTTGTTTTGGTAATTGCACAAGCTAGGGTTTGATGTTAGTCTTCATTAATCTTGGTTATTTGATTAATGTTTCCCAGCAAGTTTACAAAAGCTAAAATTAATGATTAAAGGATGAGGAAGTTCTGTATGTCCATGCCAAATGCATATAAAACTTTTGCAGGAAGGCATGGTGAAACACTGTTTGGTATGCTAGCTTTTACAATGCTTCTATCTCGAGGAAAATGATGATTTCCTTACTGACCATATCGTTCTTACACCATCCACTTTGCTGCTCATTGAATTGAATGGTTTTTTCTTTTCTTTTTTTTTCGTTTTTCGTTTCCCATATTCATAAGAAAGAAAAAAATTTGGATGAAACAAAGGAATTGGGCACGAAAACTAGCTTGAGGTTTTTGAATTAATGATTCTAATTTTTCTAAAAGAGTTCTTTCGAAATGATTTTTTTTTTTTTAATTTCATTTGTTGTATTTATATGGTATGTTAGTGAGATCCTCTCACGTAATGTATAAGATTTTTTGAGAAATGATTTCAAAAAAAAAAAAAAAAAATTTGATATCGAGATTTTTTGTTGCTGTGCAATTTAGCAAGGTGGATAAGAAATGTAGTAACATGTATAATGTTTAAAATAGAATTGACTTATTTATCTCAGAGATTATCCAAACATAATTCACTTTCATTTTTTTTTTCCTGAATTTTAGCTTCAAATACAAGTGTAACTTATAGGACCATCCATTAAAAAAAAAAAAACCACCCTAAAAGATAGGAAGACTTGCGAAGACAGTTGAAAACTTTGGATATGTGAATAGATAAACTTCGTTGGTTGAATATAGAGGCAAGAAGAAGCTAGGCTCTCCCGATTAGAGAAGAAAATAATTACTTTAGTTAAGAATAATAAATGCAAGAGAGCTTTCAGTCACAAATTCTAATTTTAAGGAACAGATTATTAGTTAACAATAATAAATGATTGAACTTTGACGCGTGTGCTGGTTTGCCCGAGAGGTTAAGGGGGAAGACTTAAGATCTTCTGTACATAAGTACGCATGGGTTCGAACCCCATAGCCAGCACAAATATCCATCTATTAATTTTAACGTCTTTAAAATATATATATTTTTATCTTTTAAGAGTAAATTATAAATTTGTCCTTTTATTTTTAAGAAATAAATAAATTAATTCCTCTTATTTTAAAAGTAATTATTTAATCTATTGACTAATGTTGCTCACGTTTATTTTAATATTATTTTATTTCAAAAATATCCTTTTTTATTATTAATCTTTCTATATTTTTACTTATTTCTCTCTTTTTCTATTTTTTAAAACAAAAAATAAAAATAATTAAAAAAGATTAAATTATAAAATAAATTTAAAATATAGATACTAAATAATTTTTTTTAAAAAAGGTGGACTTTTTTTAAAAAAAACTAAAAGGATTAATTTATATTAATCTACTCATCTTTTTAATGGGAGGAATAAAAAATGCTAGGGGTTACAAGAATATGTGATAAAATTGGATGATTACTCAAACCATTTGAAATTGGTCAAATTAAAACGCGATCCTTTCTTTTTCTTTTCTTTTTTTCAAATAAAAAATCATCCATTCAGTCCAAGTTACACATAAAAAGGAAAAAAAAATGTTGATTTCAGTTATAGAATCCCTGTCTATCTGCAATATTATTTGCAAAACAAAAATCCAACTTTCTATTTCAAACAATCCTTACAAAGATGTCTACATACTTGGCAGCTGGCACGAAGTAAATGCTACTATTTCTACCAATTTACTCTCATTTTTCTTTGTATTTTGTACTCTGAAAATAGCAACAAATCACAATGGTTCCAAAAAAAAAAAAAAAAACCCAGTGTCCCTTATGTTCAGCAGAAAAGAATGACCAGCCCTTGCTTCCATATCTGCAACTATATAAATGGAATCACAATGGTATATGGTTTCTTGAAGACAAGAAACTGGAAACCGACAATTCTTGGCCATGATTCTTGCTAAGAGTTGGGGACAAAGGTGCCAATGTAACCAAATCCTGCAATGAAGAAGGCAATAGATTGGAGGAAGAGGAATATGAAGTATCTGTTCTTTCCAAATGCAAAATCATAGCATCCACAGAAGAAGAGATAGGCGCCAGCACAAAGTTCTAGCAAATGTAATCTGTTAACATTCATCCACCAACAAAACAATATCAGAATCGTTAAAAATTGGTTCCTGATAACCTCATATAAGAATCATGAAAGTTAAGTGCACCTTTCTCCGATCCGAACCCGTGGTTTCTTGTTAGCTTTACCAGGTAATTTTGCCTTGTGAGCATCTCCAAGTTTTTCAGTGACAACCCATTCGTTCACTCTTCCTGCCTCCAGCAAACCTATGAATGCCGCCTTCGTCCGGTGCAGAGACATGACATTCTCAAACAGGATCCAGAAAAACATAAGGTGGAGTGATCTGCAAGATTATGCAGATTCAGAAGTGTTAGAAACTATTCATTCTACGAAACTGAGGAATAAGAAAGTTCGGCTCGGTTAGGTCTAGATGGATGGACAGACCTAGGAGTTCCAACAGCATTGAGAAGAGTTACAACGGAAGGAATATAGACAGCTCCCCACTTAGGAACAGTTACTTCAGGAACCAGAACAGTTGCAGGCAAAACAACACAGTAGAATACAAATGTGACCATGTGTGCCACAATCTTTCGGACAAAGAAGAAACTGTAGATCACATAACATTTCTTCCACAGTGACACTTTCTGCAGTAAATTGCATGCTATTCGTTAAAACTGTAAGATGGACCAACCATCTAGTCTCATTTTTCTATATATATTCTTAATTGTCAGGCCAAAGGGGAAAAAATAATATACCTTGTTTTTGACGATTTCGATTGCCATTTTCTTGAAGAGATTTGCAGGCCCACAAGACCATCTGTGTTGCTGATATCGGTAAGCTTTGAAAGTACTTGGTAGTTCATTTTTCACCTAAAAAGGCAAAAAGTTGTAGTAACAAGTGGCTGAAAGTGATTTGCAGAGGAGATTTTTTTAGTCTTAACAACTTTTCTGACATGCTAATCAACTAGACTAGACAGCTGGTAAGGTTGGTGGCTAATCAAAAGTTAGGATGTTTTTATTTATATTCTGATGAATATTGTTGTTAAGACTGAAAATAATACCTTGAGGTCACCGACATAAACAAATTTCCAGCCTTTGAGACTAGCCCTGACAGCCAAATCCATGTCCTCCACCGTTGTTCGATCCTTCCACCCTCCAGCTTCATTGACTGCTGAAATTCTCCACACACCAGCAGTACCTGCAGCGAATATCCGTATCTGTATCAACATTTCTAAGACATGAAAAGTTATTGCACATTAAAAAAATCAAACCAATTTAGTGATTTGTTGCGCATTAAAAAATCAAACCAATTTAGTGATTTGTCAATATGGTTTCTACCATTGAAGCCGAAGAAAGCATAGGTTGCAGACCCCACTTCTTGCTCCACTGTGAAATGGTAATCCAGTGACATTTCTTGCATCCTTGTCATCAAGCATTCATCGGAATTGACTACAAAATCACCCAAAAAAGTGTTATTTTACTTGTTTAATCATTTACTAGACCCCAATGATTAGCTTAATCAATGATGTTTAAAGTACTAGTAAAGATGTACCAAATTTCCAGCGAGCTTGAACAAGAGCAATTTCATGATTGTGAACTAGAAATGGTATGGTGCGCCAAAGAAAGTCAGGTTCAGGCTGGAAATCAGCATCAAATATGGCCACATAATCACATTGCTTAACATAGCTGTGCTTCATGCCTTCTTTAAGAGCTCCAGCCTTGTATCCATTCCTGTTGTCCCTAATCTCATACTTTATGTCGATGCCTTTGCTTGCCCATCTCTGGCATTCTGCTTCCACCAAGCTCTGCACACACACGCAAGCATATTTTTTTGTGTCATTTACTTTGGACACAAACGTAAGTACTTCAGCAAACTACAAGGTGAGTTAGAGGTAGAAACCTTAATGGTAGTGTCTGTTGAGTCATCAAGAACTTGGATTATGATCCGGTCGGACGGCCATGAAAGTCCACAGGCAGCTCCAATAGACAATTGATAAACCTGAAAATAATAGAACAGTAAAGTTAGCATGCAACAGACAAAATGCAATAGTAAATAAAAGTAACTAGAACTTTAGAACCAGTACCTCTCTTTCATTGTACATTGGAATTTGCACTAGAATCATAGGATAAGCTGAATTGCCAACCTCAATATCATCCTTTATAGGCTCCCATTTGTACTTCTTGTTTGCTGTTTTCCCAAACAACTTCACAAAAACTATAACAACTCCCATGTACACTCTTTCAATGAAAAGCATTATTGACATGCCCAAGCACACTACAACCAATAATTTCAAGGCCGGAACGATCAATGGTTCTTTCAACACTTGCCAAATCAATCCAAATTGGCTTGTGATGTCATCGCGACCGGCAGGAAAAATGTTACCGGTAGATGATACACGATCCATTGGACTATTTAGCTAGCACCGATACAATAAAGGGTACAAGGAGGGCTAAAAAATGTGACTCTAAGTGTCTTTCTGGGTGCTTGGTTATATAGAGGGGTACTTCTTTGCGAAAAGAACAAGAATAACTCAATTCCTTTTGCTTTCGAGTTACGTTTAGGCAATGTGGAAGCGAGATAGCTAGGAAGATGGACTAGTGCCAGTGACTTGATTGTTGAAGCAGCTGTCAGTCTGTCACTCCAATATTGCAGAAGTAGACCCACTAGCCATATATGACCATGCGCAGATCGTAGATCTTTCTAAGGAAGCTAGCCAAGAAAGACCACAAAAAGAAAAAAAAAAGGGCAATGTGGAAAGCAATAGCAATATAAAATGCTTACAAGTTGCTCCTTTTCTCTCTCAGAGAAGAGAATACTTTGATCAAGTCTAGTATTCCCTCCTGGTGTTTGATTAGAGAGGATCCAGAGGCCCAGGTGCTGGTGGGTTGAGGCTAAATGCATAGTGGTTAAATATACTATAAGAAATGATAAAACAACAAATTGTCAAAAGGAAAAGGACTGTTAATCTGATGCCGACAAAGAAGTTTAGATTCTAGTTGTGAATGTTTTAATATTAATTGATGAAGGTTTTACCTATCTTTATTTGACAAATTGTGAAGTGCATAATTTAGTCCATTTCTTTAAGTTTGTAACTAACTCCAATGAGTTTAGCTTTCACTTTCATTCTCTTTACAATTGGTTAACTAAGGCGGTTTTGTGATATATTCTAATTTGATATATATATATATATATATATATATATATATATATATATCCGTTTATTTTTATATAATATAATACTTAAAGTTTTCTATTTGTTTCTTTTTTTAAAAAAAATGTTCAATATATTATTTCGATCGATTTTTTGGATCATAACTTTTTTTTTTTACCGAAACGTTTTTAATAAATTGCAAAAAAAAAAAAAACATGACTCGTATGTTTTATTTTTTTGAAGTCTTTATATATTTTTTTTTTGAAATTTAATCACGGGTGTTTTATTCAAAAAATTTTTATAGTCGAAAAATTGATGGAAAGTATATATTGAACCTTTCAAATATAGATAGATAATATATTTATCTTAGTTTTTAAGTGAATTATTATTGCTGTGGTTGTTTAAAATTGATCTAGTTTTTTGTATATATAGATCATGTGCACCAATCCATCCCAAATAGTGTATTTACAAAATTAAAACAAAATCCTTATAAGTATTTTTTTCTTAAATTTAGATTCGAAATGATAACTAAAGTAAACTTGTTTAGATTTAAATTTGAAATAATAAAAAAATTTGTTTACCTTCTCAGCAATACCTCAATGATATAATATTTGTATGTTAAACACCGGTTAAAACCAAAGTCAAAATAAGTTGGCTTGGTAGACCAATAATGAAATGTATAAAAGAAGAAAAAAATATATATGTTACATTAAGAAAGTATGAAATATTTATTTATTTCCATCTTTTGTTCCATTGATCAACTTCATTTTGATACGTCTGTATGCCAACATTTGTAGGTGGAATAGTACCAAAAATATTTATGATTTATGATGTTAGAGCTTCAATTCTTGTCTTTGACAATTTTGTTTTTTTATTTGTATGATATTATATATTAACTGTTAGTGAATTCAAAAAATCTAATTTTTAAAATCAATTAAAAATTAATCATAATTCATTGCTTATCCAATCTAGACAATAATAAATTTAATCTGCATCGTAAAATCTAGTTGAATAATATCCATTATCTGTCAATAAAAAAAGGTACGTATGCAAGTGGGTTAGGGCCAAGGAACCCGTATTTTACTTGGTTGCGTGGGGTTTGGGAATCATCATTGGAACACGAATTCTTTGCTCATCTTGTCTGTTGCTATGTGTCCCATCATAAATTTGATCACCAAGCATTCATGGGGCCATACTGTTAACTCCTCTTTCATGATCCATCTCTCATGACCAAAATCATCAAATGATTGTTTCGATCATCATGCATGTCTTCTTAGTTCTACACTAATATTACAATAATGATCATAACGAGATTGATAGTTTTTGGCAAAGATAAAGAGATAGATTAGCTAAAGGTATATCATTCTCAATATATATAGTCCATCAATTTTAATCCTTCTTTTGACCAACTTCAAAGTTCAAAAGGTAATTAATTCACTCCCCTCTTAATGGCAATATGATATGGCCTGTTCAATCAATGAAAAGGCAGTCTCACCTTCAACCCAACTGGCAGAAAAACAAAATTTAAGCAAGCCGTGGTTTTACTACTCTAATGTAGCAGTAGACTACAACCAGTTAAAAAAAAAAATCCATTAAAATTACCTTACTGTTCCTAAGTTTTTTTTTTAAAAAAAAAAAACCTTAATTTCATTCTTAGATCTCATCTCATCAAGAAAAGGATGGCTTATATATCCTTCCATAGTCTAATTTTACTATGAGTCAACAGTATTTGCCAAAAAGGATATTTAAAATCATTGATGCTTCTGATAAATAGGAAATAATTGAGATAGATTTCTCAGGTCCAATTGGAAAGTTATTTCATAAATTCAAATTTATATCATCTAGTAAAAATCTCATTCTTCTCGGGTTAAAATTAACGTAAATAATTATAGCAATGCTCATAAGAATTTAGAAAATCAGACGAGCATAAAAATAATTTTATAGAAAAATGACCCACTTTTTTTTTTTTTTTTTTTAACTTTTCTGAATGAGACAAATGATCTACTTGATTAGGTTTATTTATATGACCAATATTGCTGGTTTCTCATCTTTTCCTTTGTGCTATAGTTTATTAAAAATAAACTTCAAAAAAGATTTAATTAGCAACCCATTTTGTAAACAGTATTCTAGAAAAAATAAAAAATGCAAAGCATGATTAACTTTCTTAGAAAATACATTGACAGCCCAACTAGAGAATCACTATAATAAATAAGAAAAGAATATGCTATAAAATGGTAGCACGTTGTTTCTTTATTGAAGCTTCAATGCCCTGCTAGCTAGGGTGGTTCTCAACACCGACAAGAAGAAACTTAACACATGGCAAATGGTGAAGCTTCAAGGTGATGAGTGGTGACGTCATCAAATCAGCACATTTTAGGTTGTAATATAATTTAGAAATAAGGGCAGATCAAGTTAACGTGTACCAACTATTTTTGGGGTCCATAAGTTTAAGAAAAAAGCAAAAGGTGGTTAGCTTATAAAATTACCAAATAATTGAAAAAAAAATGGTAATAGTAATTAACAATGACCAAACGTATTGGAATTAGATGCTTCCTTTGGGTGTACCAATAAAATCTCTATAGTTTAGTATTTTTTTTTTAAGAATTTTATAGTTTAGTTTAATCACTTAATAATCAAAACGTTAATTAGAGCTATGATTGCATTAGACCAAGAAGATTTGTAGAAAAGGAAAAACATGAGATCCATATATTATTTGAACATATTGAATATTTAATAATCTCGTGATAATCACAACTAGTATAAAATGAGAATAACTAAAGAAGCTTATTAATTTTTAGGCTTATTAAATCAAAAAATATAAACTTTATACTTTTTAATTATATTAACACATTCTTTCGATGTTCGACAGAAAATATACAAACTAAGTTTCGTTAATCATATTATCACATGTGAATTTTTTCAACTAAATTTTTATTATCAACCGACGTGATGGGAGAGAAAAAGCACATTGAAAACAAAGTTTTGGTCGAAAAAATGCACATATGCTAATATGGTTAATAGAAACTCAGCTTGAGTATATTTTCTATCCAACATTGAAATAATATGCTAATATGATTAAAAAATATAAAATTTATGTATTTTTTGTTCAATAAACCTAATTTTTATACCATATTAATATTTTTTGTTCATACTTTTTAAAAATATCATTTTTTGAAAATTGTTAGTTATCAAATAGAATATTGCATGGCATAAAACTAATATTAATTAGAGATATTTTAAAAAAATAAACCATTTAAAGTTTTGATCAAACAAATATAAATAAAAAACCACACGATCTTTTTGGGATACAAGGAGTAATTAACAAACATTTTAGCAAAGAGATTATTTCAATTGCTCAGTGCATATAGCTGATTTAATGGGAATTTTGGAAACTTTAAGGAAATTATTCCAATTATTTCATTGGTTGGCTAATTTTGGAACTATTGTCTTGTCCAAGAGAAAGCATTAATTATTAATTATTTTCAGTTTTATACAGTTCAAATAGAGAAACTTTAATTTAATTACGGAGATTAATATCTGGGTCAACCTTTGGAGATGAGTATAACATGACTGTTAGATAGGAGGAGGTATAATGTCTAGCTCAAAGAAGAGAAGGATTAAATCAAAAGATTTTTCTTAAAAAAGATGTAACCGAACTATCATTAAGCTTCATCAAGCATCTATTTTGACCCTTTTTTAAATATTATTTTATTAAGGTTGATAAAACATCATTTTTATGTGTTACTATTTTTTTCTAATTATACCCCACAATTTCCCACCAACTACCCTCTCATTAGAAGATACCATCGCAGCAAAATATTTGGTCCAAATGCTTGTGCAATATTATGTGAAGACAACAGGAAAGTTCAGTCTGCCTAACTCAAGGTCTCGTCAGCATTTCTCTCAAAAATAAATAAATATAATAATAATAATAATAAAAGACTTGTTTGTTCCTTTGCAAACCGTTAGCTCTTATTTATTTATAAAATCTAAAAAAAAAAAAATCACATCTCTATTGGGTTACAGTTTTCAAAAATCGAATCCTCATGCTGTTTTCTCATCTCTTTATTAAAAGTTTTCAAATTCACCCACGAGGTTGGCCATTGACGTACTATTTGGTCATGGGCTTCTTACTTCGGCTTATTTGGTAATTCTTCTAATAAATATATATTTTTTTATTGCATTGGTCAGAATATTATGTTTTTCGTATCAAATATTCTATGGAGTTAATTCAGCTTGAGTTCTCATATTGACTCTCATCATTGATTTATTGGAGAGATAATTAGTCATTTATAAAGATATTTTAAGTTTTGACATCAATATAAACATAATATCATCTTTATTAAATCCGTCTTTACAAATATTTAACCATCAACAAATAAAAAAAATTACAAAATATCAATGATAAAGAACAAATTATAAATTAGTCTCGTTAGTTTTAAGAAACAAATTAATTAGTCTTTTTTATTTCAAAAACTAATTGTTTAGTTTTTATGTTTTTAAATCTACTTATAACTTAATCTTTTTTTTTCAATTTTTTTTATTTTTTTTTGTTTTAATAAAAAAATAAAAAAGAAGAAGAAAGATTGATGAGAAAAGAAGGCATTTATAATTTTAAATTAAAAATATTCAACAATAATCAAAAGATTAAATAATAGTTTTTTTTTAAAAAAAGTTAATTAATTCATTTTTTGAAACTAGAGGGACATTATAATATACTCCAATAACAAATCTTAGGGCTTTTTTTATAATATAGAAAATAATAAAAAATTGAATTGTATAATATGAAAGCGGTCAAATATAACATTCTATACAATAGAATAGAAAAAGAGTAATCTTTCGAAAATGAAGATTATAGAGCTCAAAACATCAGCATCTGCTTTCTGCCCTTCAGCATGAGAAAATTCCGTACGTGTTGCAAGACGACGTACAAGCTATCCATAAAATACGTGTTATCTTGAAATGCCATAAAAATTGCTTGTTTTTTACCCGACTAGTGACTAGGTGACAGGCCAGTTAAGGACTGACTTGACCTTGCACTATTGTTTCAAGAATTGCAACAAAATCTTTGGGTAGGGTTATAGCTGCATGTGGTACAATGGGATTGCTTTAAACCTAGCTTTTGCAAGTGACAAATGACAGAAATAAAATTCTACCAAATACCAACCGACCATTAATAATTTACATCTGAAATCTGACAAAAGCATGATTAGCAAGCCAAAATAATGTCAAAGGAGAGACAGGGCAAATACAAAATCATGTGTGAAAAAGGATGCTAATACATATTCAAGAGCCAAGACCGTGACGTCATTCTGCTAGGTTACCAAGAGAATGAAAGTCAATTCAAAGAAACTAAAACATGTTCACAAATTTTCACCAATACAGCCATTCTGGCTTGCTACACCATGTACGGAACCCTAAATAACTCGGGCTTTCATCTAAATCGTCTTCAAAACCGTTGTGAGGATGTCGCACATCGTAAAACTAGGAATCTTACCACCAAGTGTAAGAGCTTTCGAGAATAGAATCACGGTACCGAAGTTGCATCGTATGCTTCTGGTGCAGACATTCTGGGATCTAGAAAGGATGGGAATGAAGTAATGACGAGTGAAAATCCAAGCTTCATGATTTCAGCGTGGATTATGGGAGATGCAAGCTTCTTAAGGCCTCAGGAACTGCCTGCCCACATTGCTCAAGAATTCCCACGAGTGGTCCAGCTATCACAGCATCTTCTTTGGTGAAAAAGCTATGCAGGTTGCCATTGATACTGTGCCTAGCCATCCTTGTGAGGATTTGAACATAATTATCAATTGATGGAATGAAGTTGGGTAAGATTACAGTTTCATAGAAAGCTAAATTGGTAGTAGAGATGTGTTCCACATCGATCACAGAGACCATAGGTTTCCTTCTGATTTTCGTATCCTGGCTGAAGAAAGCAAACAAAAATGAGTTATACGAGCCAGAGATTAAAAGTACTTTGTACTGAGAGACAAACTTAAAAAGTGGCAGCACACAGGATAAATCAATCAACCCATTTCTGTTCCACAACCCCAAATTGAAGTTCAAGTCTATTACCAATAATAAGAAAAGCTTAGGAGAATGTTGGGTTTGGATCAACTTGGTTTTATAAAATGACATCCATAACATGTTTCATCATAGTCATAATTACAACATTATTCTCTAAAAGCCTGATTTTCTAACATTACTATCCTGTAGTACCATTTGTTTGTTTACCTTCTATCCCCAAAACATCCTATATGCTGATAGCATCTCAAAATAAGAAATGTGCCAGCACCAACATTTTCAGTTAAAGATGAGAAAAACAACATTAAATGAAAAGGCTTGCAGAAACAATATTACTGGAGAAACGAATAGTCAATAGGAGAACATAAAGTACTGACCTGTTATCATCATCTGAAATATTGCGATTTGAGCCTGTAGAAACATTATAACCACTGATTTTGAGCATCTTGACTAAATTGAAAGAGTTGTTATCATTTCCAGCTACATATAACACCTTTAAAGGTTGGGAGCAGAGTTGGCTGTCACAAGCATGATTCAAAACTTGGACGCTCTGTAAAAAACAGTTGTGAATATCAAGGAAACTGCCAGCGAAATCCAGCATGCAGGAGAATACACGGTTAATTGAACAAAAATATATTCTAATATCATATTATTACGCTATATTTTATACAGTATAGACTATTGTGCCATGCACTGGTGTTGGAGTAGTGACAATTAGTAATCTTGGAAATGCTACAACTCATGGTAACGGATTTTCAAGCATATTGAGTAAGAATCTGGATGCAGGTGTAATAACTTGCTTCATTCACAAAATTTTACAATTTGAAAGCAGTTATCTAGATATTGAGATGTGCATACCTTTAGAAGCCTTTCTTCATCAGAAGTGCACAAATTTATTGTTTGAAATATGCATGCACTTTGACTGGGAATAGACTGATCAGTAGATAATCTACAAATTGATCCCAGGAGAAGATTTTGTAGAGCAGGAACACAGGCACTACTAAAGAAATTGTTGAAAATCACAGTACGAGGACTTCCAGAAATAGATTGCCTGATGGATTTAAGGGCATCAAGGCATCCGCCTTTAAAAAAAGATTCCACTCCATCAACAACCTATCAAATTACAAAAGCAATAAATCAGGAATAAATGATAGATCCCAAAAGCTTATTTTTGAGAGATTTACTAGAGCATAGAAGATAGAAGAAAGCATCATATTCCAAACAGTTGATCATAATAATAGTTCAAAAAGCTAAACATTCATCACACAACATCCACTCAACACACTAGATAAGCATGACGCCACCATAATCCATGTTCCTTACTGCAATACTATGCTATTGCATTTTGTAAGCCCTGACCAGCCAGGTTCAAAGTTGTTAAAAATTAGGGGATACGAGAAAAGGCTTCACAACTACTTTATAAATGACCATCTGCAAACAACTACTCAGCACCTATAGTCAATCAAATAAAATATATCAATACAATGCACCAAAAGCTTTCAAGAGGGCATTAAAAGGTCCCACTGAAAAAAAAATGAAAATTGATATTATAATGTGTGAAAAGTGAGATGGTTTAATTTGTAATCTCTTTTACAAAATACCTAAAACAGTAAAGTAAGAGTATGGGAGAGTGTGAGGATAAATTGGGAACACAAGATCTGATTATATAAAAGGTTAAAACATTACCAAAAAGGAGACCCCTGATATATCAATAGCCTTCATGGAAACAAGCTCCAGAAGTCTCTCCGGTGTGGACACAAGAAATTCAGGTTCACAACTCGCCAAACTATAGAGGAGGCAAAAAATTTTAGTGAGAGGAGAAAAGCACTGATTTAAAAATTTTCATTTACAAGAGCTTTTCAAGCACACACATGAGAGAGAGAGAGAGAGAGAGTTTTTATTTACCCATGTATTTGGTGATCTATGGAGGAACCAGGATGTAAACTCACTGTATGTATGCCAAGAGCTTTCAGAGGTTTGCACACCAAACGTACCTAGTATAATTTTAAAAGAGAAAATGCAGACACCAAATTAATGATCTGATGAAAGCCAGTGCATCCATAGGCATATAAAATGATTTCTTTTTGTTTCTAAACAGTAAAACAAAACTCCTAAACAAGTGACTACTGGTTCACATTTAAGAATATGAGAGGTTTGTATATTGCATTCAAACTGAGTTAATCGTAGCATTCCTCACATGAATGGGACTGTGAAAGGAGTTACATGGTAACAGTCAACACGTATATCATTGCTCTTGCCAAAAAACAAAACAGACAATATCCAACACAATTTCAATAACATGTATAAGAAGAGATAACAAACCTTCACAGCTTCTTCTTGGGACGGTACAAGGAATAGAAAAAATGGACTAGGTAGTGATAAACCTTCTTTCTCCTTTCTTACAATAATATCAGCAGCAATGGAAACCACCCATGCAATTTGCTCAATAGTGCAAGAAGATCCACTTGTCTCCAATATATCTTTTCCAGTTGAATAACATTTCAAAAACTCAACTCCCCAAGGGCTAAAAAACAATGGCTTGTCCTCGTCATTGGTATAGGTTCCCTCATGTCGCAATGCTTTCTCTATTTCATTCAAGCTATGCATTAGAAATTTCGATGGACAATCCACATTCTCCTGGGTCTTTCTTCGATGTCCATGTCCAACCTTTCCATTCATCTGCACTTCTACTTTTTCATGGTCGCCCCCTATATTGTTATTAGAAATAAGTGGCTTTTTAATCTCTGTGTCCAAATTCATAGCCTTCACATTTTCTGCACCCTTCATCTTACCCTTAACAAACACCCTCTCATTCTTTCGGGCCAAAGGCTTCTTTTTAGTTTCCTTTTTTGAAGCTCTGATTTACCACCCCTGTCATTGAATGGATCATCTAGAGAAGGAAGGCTAAAACACATTCCCTGTCCATCATTGTAACACATAATAAGTTACACAGATCCTAATGAATTTAAAACAATAATCCACAATTTTATTTCCAAAAACAAACCCAACAAGCTTAGATTTTGCTTGTAAACAAGTCTTGGTTTTCATAAGAAAAACATTTGACATCTCAATCAAACAACAACAGTAACTGCCATGTGCTTGCCAATGCCCCATAATACACATATTAATCAATCAAACAAACAAGAAAATCTCCTACCAAATTCCTGATTCTGGGTCTAATTCATATATCTCAAAAAATAATAATAATAATAAATAAATAAATAAAATAAACCAGCAAAAAAAAAAAAAAAGCAAAACCCACATCACAATTTCTCATCTTTCCCACTCTAAACCATTCAAAAACATTAAAAAAAAAAAAAAAAAAAAAAAAAAAAAAAAACTCAACTTTAATCACAAAAACTAATCACCAATAACCAAATATCCTTCAACAAAAACATACGCAAGTTCACCTCTTAACTCACCTGGCACATCCGTCGTTTGCCAGATAGGCGTCGCTTTTTGGCAGCTATAATGGAAGCAACACGAGCTGACACACTCGCACCCTCTCTTCGCATCTTCTTTCTTCTTACTTTGTTCTTCTTCTTCGCCACTGCATCATCTCCTTTTGCCATTTTTCCAACTTATTTATTTATGCTTCAAAATTATTATGCTGTGTGTGTATATTTACAAAGAAAGTGTGAGATGCTGCTTTGTTGAGGCTGATTTCTGTAAACTCAAGACGGCGGGTTTTAGTTTACGTCTGCTGGGGTTTTTGTGTTGCGATGGCTGATTTTGATATTTTAGGAGAAGACTATGGGTGAAATAGTAAATTAGAATTACTTTAATGGGCCAACAGATTGATGGGCTTGTACAACATAAAACTGTTAGTTTTGGTGACCAATGGGCCTTTTATTGTTTTGAGAAGAATAATTAGGCCTAGAGGTGGTAAATGGGTGGGTATGGGTTAGAATTACAGTTTTACACAAGAGAGGAGGGGGAATGAAAATCCTAAAGCAGGAATTTGTAGGATACCACATGTCTTTCTTTTGTTCCTACTCTTTTCCTCAAATAAACAAGAAAATAATGCATGTAAAATAATAAATATAGAAAAATCATAAAATTCCTAAAGGAAATCGCCAACCAGAATAATAACTGTTCGGATAGTGAAGAAAAAAATTGCACAACAAATTGAAAAAAAAACATTAAAAACAAAGAGATCAAATTAAAAGGAATTCAAAGAATATTTCTGAAGTTTTAATAATATTAATTGAATTATTTTCATAATAATTAAAGAAGAAGAGAAAAAAGACACAAGAACCTATCAATTGGCTCGTGATAACAAGATTTACAGTTTTTCTGTATGCTCTCGAGCAAATTATAAAATAGTCTTTCTAATTTTTTAAACGAATTAAATATATATTTTTTTAATTTTAAAAACTAATTAGTTTGTCTCCGTATTTTTAAATCTATATATAATCTAATCATTTTTATTCTTTGTCAATTTATTTTCTTTTACAAATAGGAAAATAAAAAATTAAAAAATTAAAAAAATATGAAAAAATAAGATATTTTTTTAAAATAAAGTCATATTAAATTAACTCTAATCAATATTGGTCAAAAAACTAATTAACTAATTTTTTAAAATAAAAATAATTAATTTATAACTTGTTTCCTAGCCTAAGAAAAATTTTGTAATACACAAGGAGTAACTAGTGATACGTACAGTAATTATTTTATTGATATATTATAATTTTTTTTTGATTGAGAATTAAAAAGAACTAGCATGGAGCCTCTTCTTTTGGGTGATTCTGCTGGTGCAGCCTTTGCGAGGCCCTAGTTTTTTTTTTTTTTTCTCTTTTGTTTTAATTCCTTTGTACCAAAAATAAAAAATAAACATAAGAAACTTGTAATTTCTCTTTTCAAATAACCAGTCGTATAATAGAAGCAAACTAGTTGAATTTGATAACTAGAAAAATACCTTTATGGGCTTCTACATTGTGGGTTTTCATGGAACTTGAGATTTGGAGGTGAATGGGCCGTTTATTGTTTTGAGAAATATAATCCGGCCTTGTCAATCCATGGGCTTTTATGCAAACATAAGCAATAGATTTGAAGATAATGGGCTTAGTTGCCTGGTGGTTGAAATGACAAGTTACAGAACTATACACCCCCAGACACGACTACGTATTGCTTGAAGAAGAAGAAGAATTAACTGCTAACTTTTTTCTATTAAACAATATCCAGTCTTGATAATTTTAGTTTATTTGTTTATATTATATAATAAAAAATTATTTTTACTGTGTGCTATAAAACCCTGCAGACATCCTGTTAATTCAAAAAATAAAAATAAAAAATCCATGCAAATCCAAAATAATGAGTAAAATATAAATTAATCCTTCTAGTTTTGGAATATAGTTTTATTTATTTATTTTAGAAAATAAATAAATTAATTAGTTTCTTAGTGTTGATGAATATTTTTTTTCAAATAACATTAGTTTCTCATTAATTTTTTTATATCTTTACTTTTTTTTATTTTGGTTAAAAACAATATTAATTGAAAAAAACGAAAAAAAAATTACAAATATATTTAAATATATAATTTACTCCCCAGATAGTTGGTCCACCTTCATTCCAAGTCTTCAACATGACGTAGAATCTTTACCATCGAAAAAAGGAAAAAAACTAGACATAGAATGTTTCGTCGGTTGAAGTGACTGCTTGTTTTTGTCCGTAGTTTACCTTGACTAAAGAGACATGCCAATTTCTCTCCATTAAAGTCATTATTAACGGGGGAGAAGAAGAAGAAGATACTCTCCTTTAGTCCTTGCAGCCCCGAGAGTACTGGGATTCTATATACCTTGCCTCGGTAGATATAGAGATATGGGAACTCTACTGCCTACTTCAGTGGAAGTATCTGAAACAGATAAAGAAGAAGGACCAAGCTCTTCTAAGGAACTTGATGCTGGAGCCTTGTTTGTGCTAAAATCAAGAGGTAAGACTACAACACTACTCCTCTGGGACTAAAATGCATGGTTAGAAAATGATATGGGAAATTGATGTTCGTTTTGTGGTAGCTAGGTTCGTGGCTGCACTGTGGATACCATTTGACAACATCAATTGTAGCTCCAGCTCTTCTGAGTCTTCCTTATGCACTTTCCTTGATGGGTTGGTTTCCTGGTGTTTTATGCCTCACGTTGGCAGCTCTGGTTACATTCTATTCCTACAACCTTCTTTCGTTAGTTCTTGAGCACCACGCTCAGCTTGGGAAGCGTCAGCTTAGGTTCAGGGTCATGGCTGAAGATATATTAGGTAAGTAAAACAATTAGATTCAAGTATTGCAGCAAAATTTGATTCTAGTGATGATCAATTCGTGGTATAATTGACAGGACCAGCATGGGGGAGATATTTTGTTGGTCCAATTCAGTTTGGTGTATGCTATGGTGCTGTTATTGCTTGTATTCTTCTTGGAGGGCAGAGTCTCAAGGTCAGTTTACATCAGTGGTTTATCTGTTAAAGGATTGAAAAGAGAAGGATATGATGGTTGGTTTTCTGGTGTATTTCCTCTTCTTGGCAGTTCATTTGCGTGCTCTCTAACCCAAAAGGGAGCATGCAGCTATACCAATTTGTCGGTATTTTTGGCATCCTGATGCTAGTCCTGGCTCAGATGCCATCTTTCCACTCCCTACGACATATCAACCTTGTCTCTCTATCTCTTGCCCTAGCTTACAGTGCTTGCACTACCGTCGGTGCTGTTTATATTGGTAAGAAGGAAAAAAAGAAAGGAATACAAAAAAGAATTTAAAGAAATTTGGTCCTTAATCCATATTCTATATCCCTTGCAGGATACTCAAAGATTGCACCTCCAAAAGACTATTCTGTAAGTGGAATTATGCAGAATCGTGTCTTTGGAGCCTCTAATGCTATTTCAATCATTGCCACGACATATGGGAATGGAATTATTCCTGAAATACAGGTTCCCTGTGTTACAAAAAGTTTGTTTATCGATTTTTAAAATGGCAGACATCGGTGCCTGGAAGGACCATGTCCTCAAAAGTGTTCATTTCTGTTTGTAGGCAACTATAGCACCTCCAGTTAAGGGGAAAATGTTCAAAGGTCTTCTAGTCTGTTATGCTGTCATAATAATGACATTTTTCAGTGTTGCAATCTCTGGATATTGGGCATTTGGCAATCAGACTAAGGGTGTAGTTCTAATGAATTTTATGGTTGATGAGAAGGCTTTACTGCCTACTTGGGTTCTCTTGATGACCAATGTTTTCACCCTCTTGCAAGTAGCAGCCGTCAGCGTGGTAAGGCTTTCATCGTGGGTAGCTAGAAGTGGCACTCAGTGGAGGCCAGTCCTGTTTTGGATGACAATGTCACTAGACACCTGGGTTCTTCTTTGTCACATAGATTTCTAACGAAAAATCTGCGTGTTTCTAAGCATCAACACATTTTCAGTTTCGCTGCAAGAACAGAGTCTAATCAACTTGGAACACATTAGACCCCCTTTTCGAAAAGCATTAATCTTTTAGATTTAAATGCAATTATAAATGGGTGGCGTAGAATATTATTCACAGTGATTAATGGAGTCTCGAATTACATCTCGTGACGTGATTTAATTAGAACACTTATGTTTGTGCAGGTTTACTTACAACCAACAAATGATGTGCTTGAACGCAAGTTTGCAGATGCAAAGCTTGATCAGTTCTCCATCCGCAATCTTGTACCAAGGTTGGTTTCCCGATCAGTATCTGTAATCATAGCGACAGCTATTGCTGCAATGTTTCCTTTCTTTGGAGATATTAATGCAGTGATTGGAGCATTTGGATTCATTCCTCTAGACTTCATTTTGCCTGTGATATTTTACAATGTGACTTTCAAGCCATCCAAGAAGGGCCTGATGTTTTGGGGAAACACATCAATTGCCATAATCTGCTCAGCAGTAGGGGTGTTGGGGGCAGTATCCTCGATTCGGCAAATAATTCTCGATGCGAACACGTACAGCTTGTTTGCTAATGTCTAATGGTTGCAACTGTTTTGTCAAGGGGAAAAGAACTATCATAGCTTTTCTTTTTCCTCATGCAGGAATCTACCAGGTCAACCTAAACCAATGATAAATTTATAGATATGATGTTGAGATTACAGCTATATTGAACAGCAGTTTTCTTAAGCAGCAAACTGTTTTTAGTACAATTCTTTTCGTCATGTAAATCATCTGAATATGGTTAGCAGAAGAAACTGATTCATTATACTCGACACTATAGCTTAAAGAGCAGTTTATACATGCAAAACCAGATTCAGCTTTTATTTAAAAATTCAATAGTGATCCTCTGATATCTGTAATTCTGTTTCAAGTTGAAAAGGTAACATCTTATCTTCTTCACTCGAGGCATTGTCCGAAAGCGCTGCAAATCAAAATAATCGTTGGAATTTCTTGCCATCAAATCCCTATAATTCTTACGAGAAAGCACACGGCTCGTATAACTGAAGAACTTCGATTCTGACATTTGAAACTATATCTGAGGATTCCTGAATCCACAAACCTACAACGCAAGTGGTTATGTGGTCTGTTGTTCTTCATTGGACCTGTTCACATTACGTCAAGTTGCTGCCGGCTTCTAGAATCTTTCTTAAAACTTCATTAGATTAGACTTTTATGGTGTCGCCTTGTAAATGGCAATCTATATGCTAAACAAATAATCATACTTGAGGAAAAAGTCAGAAGAAGTGATGAAAATTGACGATAAAAACAAAGGAATCTAGCTAGGAGGATCATGTTATCTATGAACTCCCTGCTTTGCTAATTGCTCTGCAATATGATGTCTGAGCAAAGACATTGGAAGAATGAGACTCCATAAGAAGATTGGAATTTTGTAAAGTAGAATTGGGAGTTTGTTTTTGTCTGATTAATTTCTGCTTCATTTAAGAAGAGAAATATTCGAATGGCCGTCAGAATTAATATCACAAAAAGTAGTCTGACTCACATAAGTATTCTAATTAGTTAGTCTCTATATTTTTGAATCTATATATAATCTAATCATTTTTATTCTTTGTCAATTTATTTTGTTTTAGAAATAAGAAAATGAAAAATAAATAAAAATATTAAAAAATTGATGAAAAAATAAGCTTTTTTTTTAAATAAAATACATTACAGTAACCCTAATCAACATTGATCAAAAAACTAATTAACTAATTTTTAAAATAAAAGAAATTAATTTATGACTCTTGCCACCAGCCCAAATGTCAAATATATATATATGTGTGTGTGTGTGTGTTTGTGTGTATGTATGTATGTATATTATTACTAGAATTTTTTTCTGATTGGGAATTAAAAAGATCTTGCAATTGATATATGTATTACGAATAAAATGAATTTATGTATACAAACAACACAACATTAATTTGATGATTTATATCCTTTGATAAAATCTAGCATGCAGCTTCTTCTTTGGGGTGATTCTGCTGTTGTGGCCTTTGTGAGGCCCTAGTTTTTTTTTTTTTTTTTTTCCCTTTTAATTCCTTTGTACCAAAAATAAAAAACAAATATAAAAAACGTAAGAAACTTGTAATTTCTCTTTTCAAATAACCAGTCGTATAACAGAAGCAAACTAGTTGAATTTGAGAAGCAGAAAAATACCTTGATGGGCTACTACATTGTGGGTTTTCATGCAACATGAGATTTGGAGGTGAATGGGCCTTTTATTGTTTTGAGAAATATATTTGGGCCTTTTCAATCCATAGGCTTTATGCAACATAAGCAATAGATTTGAAGCTAATGGGCTTACTTGCCTGTGGCTGAAATGACAAGTTAGGGAACCATACTCTCCCATGCACGACTACGTATTGCTTGATGAAGAATAATAATTAGCTGCTAACTTTTTTCTATCAAACAACATCCAGTCTTAATAATTTTAGTTTATTTGGTTATATTATATAATAAAAAAATTATTTTTCCCGTGTGGTGTAAAACCCTGCAGACATTCTGATAATTCAAAAAATAAAAAATCCATGTAAATCCAAAATAATGAGTAAATTATAAATTAATCCTTCCATTTTTGCACGATAAATTAAATAATTTTAGTTATTTATTTTAGAAACTAAATTAATTAATTAATTTCTTAACTAGTGTTGATGAATATTTTGTTTCAAATAATATTAGTTTCTCGTTATTTTTTTTATGTTTTTACTTTTTTTAATTTCTTAAAAACAACATTAATTAAAAAACAAAAAAATAAATTAAAAATATATTTAAATATATAAAAACTAACTAGTTTTTACAAATAAAAAGACTATTCAATTCATTTAAAAAAACTAGAGAAATTAATTTATAATTTCCTCCCAAAATAGTTGGTCCACCTTTATTCAAGTCTTCAATATGACGTAAAATCTTTACCATCAGAAACGAAAAAAACCAATTAGATTAGACTGTTCACATTAGGATAAGTTGCTGCCGACTTCTAGAATCTTTCTTAAAACTACATGTGTCGCCTTGTAAACGGCAATCTACATTATTACTAATAAACTAAAAGGTGTAGCTTTTTTTAACAGTAAATTACTATTTTTAGACTATTCATTCACTGTTCACAAGTTTTTTTTTCTTTTTCCTTTTTCAATAGTAAGTTACTATCATTAGACTATTCATTCACTGTTTACAAGTGTTTTTTTTTTTTTGTCGGGCTTTCCCCCCGCTCTCTCTTGCTGCTTAAAGCCCTCGTTTGTTTTTTTTTTTTTTTTTTTAAATTTGTTTTGTTGGCTCTCTCTCTCTCCTTTGCTGCTTTAAGCTCTTTCTAGTTTTTAATAATTTTACATTTTAATCTTTATTTTATAATTTTTTTTTAATTTTAGTCATTAAAATTTTATTATATTTGATTTTTATCCCTACAATAAATTAAAATTTCCCCTTTTACTGCATTTTTAAGTCTCTCTTTTGGTTTTTAGTTGATTTTATTTTTATTTTAGTCATTATTTTGTAACTTTTTTATTTTGGTAATTAAAATTTAAGTTTTTTTTTTTTTTGTGGTTTGGTTGATGTAACTGGCTTTCTCTCTCTCTCTTGCTGCTTTAAGCTCTTTTTTGGCTTTTAATAATTTTACATTTTAGTCTCTATTTTGTAACCTTTTCAAAATCTGGATATAAAAGAATAAATCATGTTCTTTTTAGTAAATATATATATATATATAAACAATCAGTTAAACACAAAAATTTTAAAAAATAGTTTTGATTTTACTTTTAATTTAATATATTTTAGTAGATTCGTAATATAATATCAAATTAAAATAATTTTATATGTTATATCCAATTGTAGCATAATACGGAT